CGGCAGATATGTACTATAGAATTCTGTTCTTACCAAGGGGAGAACAGAGAATGCATTGACTAAGGTCGTTGACATCATATACCGTTAGAAAGGTTGGAATGTGTCCTACACAGCCTACGAAACCTTAAATATATTACCCCATTTGTCTTCCCTAGAGAGAGCCACAAAGCAGAGGCTGAATGCAGTTGAGTTCAAAAATCTATCTATATTTCAAAGTCGAAAAACACTGGTAAAATCGATCTGTCAGAGTCATGTTATATATCAATCGATAGCCAGCATTTTTCTCTACATGGCTACTGGATCCAGAATACATAAAATACAAGGTCAATCGCTACGAAGAAGGAGAAGTCTTAGCGCACATTATGCGAGCAGTGCTCGGCACTCCACGCCATGGGATGACTACGTCATGACGAGCGATGTTCGGCACTCCACGCTGAAGGGTTAACAAATAAAAGTGAACCTCTTCTGCCAGCATTTCTGCTAACAGTAGTTTTCACACTTGCAGTTCTAACCCTATCCAAAAACTGTGGACTTTCATCTCTCCCCTGCTTAGTTTCATGCAATAAATTATATGTTTAGTGATTACAAAGAGTTTTCGTGACCACATGGTTAAGGAGGAAGGTGCAGAAAATATTTATTTTACGTGTGCCTTGAACTACATCGCCCCCTTCAGACAAGTCAAAAGGGGGAGGTTCTAGTTCTTAATGTCATTACATCCTTCGGCAATCTCCTCTTATGTACATTGGGTATAAATAAACAATAATGTTCTCAAAGAAATATAAATTAAAAATATATGTCTTTCAAAATAATCAAACAAAAATATATGCATATGGTGTTTACATGTAAGCCCTTAAGTTTAAAACCACAATAACAAGGATGCAAATTCTCAACTTCTTACATGAAATAATAAAATAGACTCTCTCTCACAAAAAACCCACACGGCCTCAGCCTCTCCCCGAGAGACAGGGCAGCTTTCTCCCCAACTGAGCCTCATATTCAACCAAGTAATGTACCAACGTCAAACACACACAAATAAACAATGGAACAGCTACCTCCAAATCTCAAGGAAATCACAGCAGTACAGAAACAGCAAATACCTTAACCAACCTGCATTCTGAGAGACAGTCCTCTTGTGCTAGCAAGAATCAGGCAAGATACTCCAATCACCCTTCCCATGCCACACTGACACAGCAAAAAGAATGGGATCGATCTGGCACTGCTAGTTCAGTTGGTCCTCACCCGGTCTTTGAGGTCGCTCCCGTTAACCTCACAGGTGACAAGAGCCGACAGGGTTGACTCAGCCTTAAAACAAAAAGGAAAGTTCATAAAAGCCCTGGAATTTAACCAACTAAGTGACTACTAGCTTCTCAAGAAGCACTATACTCCTTGCAGTTTTCAAATTTCCATCTCTACACCAGTATAAGTGCAAGCATGCAGTTTGAATATAACTTGGTATATTTACGAAATGGGAACATGATGTGAAAGAATTTTACTAGGTATCCTCCTCCAGATCTATATCTGTATTAGAAACAGCAGAAAACAGACTGCAACAGAAAAATGTACTCTGTATACACCCAAATCATGTATCAGTCTTCACATATTATATCTACACTGAAATACACATACTGTATTTATTGATGGTTGCATTCAATATAATAGTCCTATCTATGCTTGGGTTTCTTCCCTCCAAGTTTTCTAACTAAAATATTCTGGAAATTTCTTACCTCCCCTATACAAATACACATAAAGCTTAAGAAATGTCGACAGAAGTAAATCATCTACAAAGTAGAATGATTTGAACTTTTAATTGTAGGTGGAAGATTACTGAATAACTTGATGCCTGTATAGTATACTCCTTTTTGATAGAGTAGAGTAGAGTTTATTTACATTCCATAGATCCTTCTTAGGACTCAACCAAAGGATGTAGAACATGTCATTTCATACAATATACATACACTTCACAACTTTCAACACAAGTACAAGAACGTATTTCACATATCAATGTACATAAATTTCAGATTCTGCAATACAAGTATGAAAAATAATTTTACAAATTAATATACATAAACCTCAGAATTTTAAATATAAATACAAAACTTGCTTTAACATATACATAGATTATGGATATAAAGCTTAAACATTTTCAGCAGAGATGAA